CACACACACACACACACACACACACACACACACACACACACACACACACGCCTTGAACTTGTTTTATACCTGTAATCATTAAGTGTGTAAGCTCCTACCTGACACGCCTCTCTGTGGATTCTGTGGATCTTTAGCTCTTCTTCTGTGAGGTTCAGTGAAGTCCTGCTGTCTCTGTGTGTCTCCTGACCACAGAAACCTGCAGCAGACCCGTTGTCCTCACTGATCTGCTGCTTCCAGCTGCTGCTCCTCTCTGCCAACAACTTTCTCTCTGACGGGTTCATCCTGAAAAGCTGTTTGTTACTGATGCGGGATAATAAACACTTTGCCCGGACACTTCCTGTGAAACATGCTCCTGGGAAAACACCAACTCTGGAACTTAGAAACAAACCAAAAACTCGTGTTGGCATGTTTTTAACACAACTTAAACTGAAGAAAACACATTCCTCCTACTCACACAGGGCTGTTGACTTCCTGCTCTGCCTCATTTGTCCCATGTGACCTGATCCAGCTGAACCCACAGCGCCTCTGCTGGTTCACACCTGCTACTGCAGGTTATTTTACTGACAGCAGAAATTTACTGTTTTTACTGTTAATAAAAAATAATAGCACTGTGCAAAAATAAAACACTTCAAGTGTGTTGTCAGCATTCAAACTATTATTCTCTTTTCTTCTTCTTCTTCTTCCTCTTCTTATCATTTGCAGTCAAACTACTTCTGCATACTCTGTGCTATTTAACCCATTCATATACCATAACATTCAGCTCAGTCAGAATTAGTTGTAATTTTTGTTTCTAAATATTTAACTTAATTTAAAAATGTTCTAGAAAAACATGAGAACTTCATTTCATTCAAAACCATTGTTCACTTTGAAAACAGCTCCAGAAGACTTGTTGTCTTTTACTGTTAGTAACAGTGGAGCAACTTTTTAAATTTTAGTTATTATTTTAGCAGTTTTTATAATTTAGCTTTTACAATATTGCTTTTGCAAAACTTTAGCTTTAAACTACCAGTTTGTTACTTTTGCATATGTCAGCTGTTTAGTTACAGTTTAGTGTTTTTTAATGCTTAGTTTAGCTTTTACCATTCTGCTGCCACTTGTAACTTTTAGTAACAGTTTTGCAAATTTTATCTTTTATCAGTGGTGATGCTAAATGAGCTTTTAAATACCATTTTGATGTATTTTTCTTTTTAAAATAGTTCTCATTTCAGCTTTAAGCTACTGTTATGCATCTTTTAGCTTTTAAGTTACAGTATGACTACTTTTATTTTGAAGCTACAGCTATTTAGATAGTTTTTTCAAATTTTAGCTTTTATTGACAAAGTTAGCTTTTAGATACTTTCCTCATTCTTTTAGCTGTCGTTTTGCTGATTTGAACTTTAACACTTCAGTTGAAAATTAATTCTTCATCACATCTGCTCAGGACTCAGTATTTTCACATAAACCATGCAATTTCTTTAATTTAAATAACAGTTTGATCATTTTATCATGTATTTAGTGTTTAAGGTTTAATTTATCTGGATTCTCAGGGTTTCTCTGCTTTCTCACCAGGATGAGAGTCTGGATAACTTCCTATTTCCTGCTCAGAGCATTAAAAATCTTATATTTTAAAAATAGACAAAAAGCAATCGTATCTGAGATTTAAAAAAAAATCTTTCTTACATTTTCCAGGTCATGGTATGAACAGTTTTCATCGAAACTACTTTCTAACAAAAATGCAGCTGCCACACACACACACACACACACACACACACACACACACACACACACACACACACACACACACACACACACAGAAAAAAAATGCTGACAGACTTTTTTTGTGCACCTTTAACATCCTGTTTTGAACATCTTCCTAATCCTGCCTCTTTGTGAGAGCAGGGAGGTGAAGTCAGACTCCCTGAGAAGACTCGTCTCTTCCTCTCCAGCAGCACAAAGCCATCATCTTGCTATGATATCAAAGAATTAGGATGACTTGGACTTGGCCCTGCAAGGTTGATGAGTGGACTTTAATGAGTCCTTTCAAGGTTACCCACCGCTGTAAGCCACCACTGATTATGTTTCCACTCAGAAGTGTGGTTAATGAAACCTGACAAGTGTCTTTTGACTGACATTGTGCGGTCAATTCACCCTGAGACAAATGACACGGCACTGGTAAAAAAAAAAATTTGCACGCACGTTAGAGCAGAAACGATTCTTATAAATTGTACAGATGTGTTATTTTCTTTGGAAGATAGATTTTTTTCACTCTTTTATCTGCAATCTCTGCAGCACGATTGATTATCTTCTGTTACAAAAAAAAAGCCCGATTTATGTAAGATAAAAATTATTTTCTGCACATTTACAATGCAATAGACTCCCGAATCAATGAAAGACTGGGTGCTGACTCTGCAGGCTGCATATAATGTAAGAAAAACAGTTGGGTTGTATTTTCTTATAGCTCAGACAGGTATTTTGTGCCTCAGGTGGTCAAATGTTATAAATCAGTGTCTATAGGACACCAAATTGTCTAGTTTTTGGTTTGATGTTTTTTTCTATTTACTTCCATAATGATCAGTTTTTGGGTCCCTTTAAATGTGAAACATCAAAGGCTTTGGGTATCTTTCTAAGTCTGCATGCTGGTGTGCATCAAATTGTTCTCTTTGTTTGTCCCGATGACAACCAAACAGTCCTGCCATTAGGATTTCATCTGGATGCCTGGAGCAGAATACCCCGGTCTGCTGCCACTTAATTACCTTCCTGCGAGCCTGAGGAGATCTGGCTTGGATCCAGACAGACTCTCTGGAGAAGGACTAAGATTGGTTTCAATTTACAAAAGGGACAAAACGCTGCGCGAGTTGACTCGTTCCTGAAACATATACTCTGAGCATACGTTTTGCCTTTTTATTTATTTATTCTTTTTTATTTATTTTATCAAAACAGCTGTAATCACTTCTCAGTATAAGAGGATCTTTGACATAAAAGGTGGTGGTTGAAATGTAATCCAAGTAACAATCTTTTTATTTTAGACAAAGCCTCAACAGCAGTTTTAACTAACAATCAAAAAGAAAAAATAAGTAGGTCCTCTGGGTGAGTTCTTCTTTAGTGAAATATTTTGTCTCTCGTCCAAGAGACTTCTTCAGTCTGATGAGTTTCAGGTGAACTCAGCCTTATAAGCACTGCCTCCACATGGACAAACAGGTTAGTCACATGCAAAAGAGGGCCATCGACTAACAATAGGCTTGATTAGYTCHATTGTTCATAGAGGGTCATGTGCCCCATCACCTGACTTATTGGTTTGGATGCTGTCCAAACCTCTTTTGGATGTGACTAAATAGAGCCAATCAAGCCTATTGTTAGGCGATGGCCCTCTTTTGCATATGACTAACCTGTTTGTCCAGGTGGAGGCAGTGCTTATAAGGCTGAGTTCACCTGAAACTCATCAGRCTGAAGAAGTCTCTTGGAGAGACGAAACATTTCACTAAAGAAAAACCTACTTATTTTTTCTTTTTGATTTTTTTCTACCTGGATTACTGAGATGCATCAGGACATTAACAGACAATCCATAACCTAATTAAGTAACAAGATCAATTTTACACAACCAAACCTTTAGGTGCACAAACCCCATTTAAAAAGATGTCTCAATGAATAAATGACAGTACAATTCAAGAGAAATGTGAGCATTTAATTCCATTAGGAATGTAAAGTGCTGATGCAAAAGTTGATGCACTTTTCTGCTTTTACTTCACACACAAACTGCTGCTGTTCAACACGTTTGCTGTATTTGTGGCTGTAATTATTCAGGAGAAAGTTGAGTAATTACAGCAGCTCTCAGCACACTTCTTCTGTGCGTCACAGTTGGATTTGTTTCCCACCGAGCGCCGCTGCTGTTGAGGGCAAAAGGCTTTGCCAAAGGACACATCAGTGGTGATAATGAGGATGGGGGCAAACGTTACTCTCTGGCTTCCACCAATCACATTGATCGGACAACAACATGCTAAAGGCCGCTTAGCCCTCCAAGGTCTCGTTCATTGTTCGAGTGCAGCTCGACAACAGTGGAGAAATTACAGCACGTTCCAAGAAACAAGCATTTTCAGATTCTTAACGCTGTTTTTTTTTTATTGAAATTGTCCCATCATTTCTCTTTGTGGACTTTATTTGCTCTATTATCATAAGATGCTGAAAAAAGGTATTTTTGTTTCAAAGTACAACCACCAGGTTGTTTTGTGTGGCACTTTGTGGTAACATGATATCATTCCAATGACATCACATGGACCTCTATCATTCACAGGAAATGAAAGTAACTTTGAAGACTGCAAAGAAAAGTGGCAGTAATGCAGAAAACATCTTAACTTATAATGTGACCTTCGTTAAAATTCAATGTGCACAAACGTTTAGCTGCATTTTGGAAATATACTTTCACAACCTTTAATCCAGGTTTTAAACAAGAAGTATATTTTTGCACAATCAAAAAGAAAAAAACTGTATAGATCTTCTGGACGGGTTCTTCTCTAATGAAACGTTTCGTCTCTCCTCCAAGAGACTTCTTCAGTCTGAGAGTTTCAGGCAAAATTCAGGCCCTGCCTCCATGTGACTGATACTCACATCACATGGCTATTGTTGACACCTAATTAACACTTATTGTTAACAGGGGTGGAGTGATACTGGCAATAGCCGCGCTGTAGGAGGGGGACAACTGAAAACGGAGGCCTCCACCTCTGTTTAATTAAACAGAGGTGGAGAAGAACCCGTCCAGAAGACCTATACAATTTTTTTTCTTTTTGGTTTTTTACCTGGATTACTGAGATGCATCAGGACATTTTTGCACAATGTGTGACGGTTTAAAGTTGTTTCTTCTTTTTAATTTAATATGAGTTAAAAAACGTCAACCTTTAAATTCACACATACCTGTTATTTAAAGGGGGCACATCATGCAAAATCCACGTTTTTAGCCGTTAAATACACTTTGTTGTCTCTCTTGAATTATGAGTTTAAGTCTTCCATTGTCGACATCTTTGAATTATTTGTAAATAAAACGTTTCTGGTGCTATATAGTCGCAAACTCCTCTATCAAACTGGAATGAACTGGTCTAGAAACTGGAGGGGGGCGGGGTGTAAAGCGCTAATTTAAAGAGACAGCCTCAATCCGAGACACACCTCAGAAAAGCGGTGAAAGAGGGGCTTGTGGAGTTACAATAAGGAGAAATTCAGACCAAAGCATTGCAGTTCCACTTTATATAGACCCCAACTGAATGAGCTAAATGTGAMAAACAAGAATTTAAAAGCATGACATGTCTCCTTTAAAAATAAAAAGGGGTGCTTATGACGAGTACTCAAATGTACAAATCAGCTTTTATACAGTATGTAAAACAAATAATGCATTTTTTCCTGAAATGGAGTGTAAAACGTATTAAAATTTAAAAAAAAAACCCTCAAAACCCTTAGTATTGCATTCCTTCACTGCACTTTTGGAGCCTCCAGGTGGAGGCTACTGCTGCCACAGGTGTTGAACTGATAAGGCAGGAAAACACATTTTTTATTTATCAAAAAGCATGAATCACATGGTTCAGGTCTGCGGTGTGTTCTAATCAGAGGCATGAATCATGTTTTCAGTCTGCAGCGCGCGCGCACATCATGTGGAAGCGGCGGCGGCGCAAGGTGCTCATCTGACGCGCTGACGTCACTGACAACACTTCCTGGAGTGGTGTGTTTGTTGTGGGAAGCCGAACTGCTGGAGGGAGGTGAGGAGGAGGTGGGAGGGGGGATTTAGGCCACGTAAACGACAAGAAGGACGCCACCAACTTCTACTTTAAAGCATGTGGTCGCGGCTGCTGATTGTGACCGGTAATCAATTAGAGTCAGAGGACTGACGGCTGAGACCGAGGAAGAAGAAGGACGTGAGAGGAAAAAAAAAAAAAAAAAAAAAATCTCGGACAGACAGACCTGACAGTAGAGCAGCGCCTCCGACAGCACGGAGCTGTCGCGATGCTGTGACTAAACCATGGACAGCAGGATAAAGTAAGACCTCTGAGTTTCTGTTTATTTGACRTGCTCTCCTCGCTACATTTGAACAGCCGGTCGAGCTAGCGGCTAATGTTTAGCTCGCCTCGCGCTCCGTTAACCCGGAGCTGCGTGGTGTTGCAGACGTGCGGAGGAATGTTTTGCCGTAATTTGAGCCATCATCTCCAGCCTTTTACAACCAGGCCAGCTGGCTCTGCAGCATTTGGGTCAGTCTGTGGCTGTCTACTACGACCAACAATTAGCAGCTYTGACAGCCAAGCAGACAGCTTTAAAACAGCAGACAATATGTGCCGAGTTACTCCWGTGTTACATTTAAATAAGAGAACCAGATGACCCTCTGCACTTGTCATTGACATTTCCTGTCAGTGTCAATTCTTATGAAAAGTGGGTCAGATGACCTGCTGCATTTAAACGCACATGTAATGGAAGTGAACACAGCTGTGTTTGTTTTTGACGTTCCTCATTTCCTCTGAGTAAACAAGCCTGATCCTTTCCAGGGAGAACCCAGAGAGAACGTTTGATCTGGTGGTGCAAGTGTCCTGCCCAACATCTGAACATGAGGGTAAGTGGTATCAATATTTGAATTCAGAATATGCAGTCCGCTTTCTGTTTCTACCTGTGGTTASCATGTTCAACCACACACTAAATATATTCTCTGCTTTTAATAAACAACAATAAAAAAAAATTGGCTGCGATTAAGATTCTTCACTATTTTTAACTTTTGGAGCTTGCGAGCCAGGCAGGAAATAAACTCTAGTGTTTCAGTCAGATGCTTCTACATAGTTGCTACTCATTTTTCAAAGCTTTAGAAATGCAACACAGTAATTTAATGCAATGCATTTTTTTGAAGAATGCATATCATCCCTTACCTTTCATCCCACTTTGGTCAAACTTTAAGAATAACGTTATGCGCATGCAATTTCACACACTGTCATATTGAGTAAATGTTGTGAATAATGGCAAGGTACTACCACTTCAAATTCTAGTTAAATACCYGTCRAATTAACTGAGATTGATTTTTGTGCTTGCTGATATTGATTAGCTTTGGTGGCCATGAAATGGATTGACTCCAAAGGTTTTTCATTTGTAGATGTGCAGATATTTTGCCAACAGTTAATTAGGGTTGACTCAGTTGTAGGGATGCACTGATATGAAATTTTCAGCCGATATCGATATCCGATATAATTATTGCTGTTATGGCCGATAACCGTTATTTACCGATATTACAAAAACACACAAATTATATTATACATATACGCACAAACACACTTGGGTCTTTTTTTGTTACCGTAAATAAACAACCAGACCTCCCACACAGCTCCCTACTTCAGTTATTCCTGGCAATGCAGCATCAATATCACTATCATGATCAAACAGATGCCGCTCAACCAACCATCTCCCCTCCCCAAAACAGAAACACAAAACTAAAAATTGGGAAATCAAAATCGGACGTTAATATCGGCCCAGTTTTAAATATCGGACCGATACCGATATTCTAAAAAATGACCAATATCGGCCGATACCGATATTGGTGCCGATATATCGTGCATCCCTACTCAGTTGTGTTGAGCAGGACTTTTGAGTTTGATTTGTGAATTACTCTCAACTGCAACTTTACCAATTTGTATCACAGCATCTGTAAAATTGCCTGTATTATAGTTATTTTTGTGTTTTCTATTAGTGGCCGTTTTGAATTGGGTTGTTAATTAGTTCTAGATGTGAATCTTCACAGTTTCATTAAAAATATTCCAGATGTCCACAAGGTAATTTTTACAGTTATAGTTAAATACACTTTTCAGCGTCAGTGGTTTCTAACATAAATTTGGATTTTTTTTTAAATAGAGTTTATTTTGGTTCTTTTAAAATCTGCTCAAAGTTAATTATCTTTAAAATGCTGCTAAAAGTTTATAGAACACTTTGGAAAAATTATGGTGGACATTCATTCTTTATAATTAATGAAAAACGAGTGTTTGCTGTAAATTTACRTCTGTWATGAATTKGCTGTTGGCCATTSAAGACACAAAATACACTTTATGTGAATGATAACAAAATACTTTATACTCATGGATTTATTTATTTATTTTTGCATTTTCTTAAATTTAAAGGCTCAAAAGATAAAATAACAAAAAGATTAAAAGATTATCCGGGTCCCAGCAAAAATCTTATGTCGTTCTCAGGAGTCATTTTGTGTTCCATGCTTGCAGAAATGATAGTTTTTACCCGGGCTGTAATTACTGTAATTGTCAACTGTGCAGCCAGGGTGCCATGTAATGTTGGTYGTGGATGCTGAACGGACTTGCACGTTATTTAAAGTTAAGACACCAAGCGTCACAGAACTTTGCTGCATGACTGCACCAGTACTCATTATGTGTGTTGTGTTATTATGTGTTTGTGAGATTTAGTGTTTGCTCTGTCAAGATGTAAAAAGGCCAAAAAGACATATACTTAAATCAGTATCAGAGATCTTTCTATTAGTGTTGTGTAGTCCTCATGTTATCCATTTGATGGATTAATCTCACATAACAAGTTCAAGATTTCTCTTGCAACTGTTACCCAACAGAGAGAGTTTTATAAATCAAATGTCAGAGTAAAACAACTCTGTATTAATTGTTCTCCTGTTTGCACAGATTATTTAATCCAGCTGTAGCTGCCAGAACCTTTCTGGGAAATGACCAAGGCCAACGAAGAACAACGCWGTATTATACCTTTTTATAAATATGGGAAATAAAGCAGGCTAAATTTCACATAGGTATCCAGTGTCCTTCATAATACGAACGTCAAGTAAAAACATTTTCTCTACATATCACACGGGCTGTTTTATTTTGCCCACTCGGTGCTGAATTTAAAGAGGTGTTGTTGGATGGTTCAGTGGTGCAGCTGCTGAGCTGACGAGAGTAGGCTGAAAGTTGTCCTTGGATGTAGCGCTCATATTGGATTTTAAACCAAACTCATAAACCGCCGAATCACAGAGTAATAACTGACTTCCTCAACGTACGGACTGGGGTCAGACTCATATCCGGACTTGTGTTCCCCTGAGCGAAGCTGCAGCGCAGCTATTGAATTGAACGCTCGGCTCAGTTATTTGACCAAAAGTTTATTTCTCTGATTGGATGTCGAACGAACTTGTTGAGGAAGCTGGTTTCTGTAAGGGTGGGCCTTGTGTTTGTGGTTGGCTGCCTTTTTAAAAGAAGCAGTTTCATTTACTCCAATGAGGAATGAAGCACTTCTCCCTGAGTCGGATCAGTTTCGCTTTCCTTGACTTGCCTTTTAAAATAGGCTTTAATCAAATAGTTAAACTGGATGTGAGATGTTTAAGTTGTTGGTTAATGTTAATATTGCCCACTGTGAAAGTTTTTCATTATTTTTGTGTTTAGTTTTGATGCTCTGCTGTACGTTTCTTGTGAGCTGAATGTGTAAAGGCATGAGTCATAATTGACAGGTTTTGGTCATGCTGTGAAACCTCCACACAGTCACTCACCACACACTAATACTGTTTCCCATACACTCAAACATGATCTTTATTTTTGCCAAAAAGTGCCACTTCTTATTCACACATTATCTTCCCACTCCCTTCGAGAGGCAAACAAACAGTAGGGCGACCATGACGGACTATAATTAAATTGTCATAGCAACATGATGAAGAAGATTTGAGCGTTTGGCATTTGGAGAAGTGGCAGAAACTTGCTTGCAATTCTCACATCTCCTCTCCTCGCTTCAGGGAACGGGAGTTTAATTTTAGCTCACTTTGGCTGCTTTTCAGTTGTTGTGAACTTCCCTTACCAGTAATTTAGGTTTTGCCCTGAAAAGGTTGTAAGTGACTGGCGAGGTGTCTGCTGTGAGTGAGTGAAGTGCTCGCTGTTTGCAGTGTTCTGCTGATGCCGCGCCGCTGTTCTGCTGCCCTCACCACATCCTTGTCCTGCAGGTTTGAAACTAGATCCATGCGCAGGGCCACGAATCAATACCATCAGAGCGCAAACGCAGTTTCCCTCGTTAATGTCAGTCAGGACGGAACTGCATGGTTTAAAAAGCCTGTGCTAAAGTCAGATAAAATTAGCTCAGCTTTTTATCTGTCCCTGAATTTCCTGTGTCGGTTCAGTTGCACACCCTTTGAGGTCAGCATGCAAACAACACCTACATATTTGCAGAGAGACCTGTAAAATGCCTGCATTTCATTAAGCTACAAACCTGCTTGACTTAAGTATCTTAACGTATAGTGCGCTTTAAAAAAATAACCTTCTTTAATTAGGAATTTTAATATATATCCCTAATTTATTGACATTGTGATCACAGTCTGCACAATTTATTTATTTATTTATTTATTTATTAAAAAAACTGATAGTAAAGTCGAATTTTTCAGTATTTAGAATGTTTTATGGGAATGCCGTTTTAAAGCCTTAGGAAAATGTATTGCGTACAGTTTGTTGTTTCATTTCTAGTGCAGCAGCTGTGTCTAGTTGCACTCTGTAAAAATAAAACTGTCATGTTGGAATGGAAATAAGTTGTTCGTTTGCTCTGAACCCAGAGCAGAAAGACACCAACACTGCATAATTAAGTACTTGTTCATTTTATTGCAAGTCATATTGTCATTGCAATATTAAGCACTGTTATCGCACGTTGCAGGTTTTCCTAATATTGTGCAGCCCTAATTTCTTTTAAATAGGAATAATAAATTAGTGGACTAGTTTAATTACTTAGATTTTTGATGGATAAACAGTTTAGCAATGACAAAGCCAAAGATTTGTTCAGTAGGTAATACCCCTTTTTACAGTATTTTGACTAAATGTTCGGTATGCACATTAACATTAAAGTTAAATCATTTAGCCAAATACTGTATTTGTAGAACGTTGCCATTTTGATAAGGTCTCCTCTGGTAGAAATGCCAATTGTTATCTAGTTTTTGGTAGCTTCTTAAACATTGAGTTTAGCTTTATTTACACCAAAGGTGTGGAATTGTGTATTTTCCAGGTACATGGCTCAATTCTCTACTGCAATCAAGTAACTCTTGCCTTCATTTGTTATGAAAATGTTGTATATATCAAAAATAAAATTTCATCATAGCCTTTCTAAATGTCTTGAAATTGGCCTTCTTTAAGAACCTACTACCGTTTCCGACACTCCCACTTCAGCACATCTTCACAACAAGGCTTCATGCCATTTACAACATTTTGTAGGAGTGTTCTATTTTATTGCGTAAAAAAAGCAAAATTATATAATGTTGGCTGTCGTAGAAAATATTCAATGGGCAGAAACACGTGAATAAAAAAAAACATTGGCTTTGGAAAATGGCAACTCAGGATGAAGTTGAGCCTTACTCAAATGATCCCACGTCAGACCAAAAATAKGTTTTCAGAAGAACCAGAGCGAGTACAGAAGCCCTTACAAAATGTTTCAGCTTGGTAATATGTCTCCCAGTCATCCTCTCATACATATACGTCAGTGTAAAGCTACTTTGTGCAAAAAAACAATAAATATACATTATTATGAAGCCATGTTTTGCAATGAGATCATGAACATCCACCATATTTAGGATAGGTTTTCCTAGTCTGGATCTGTGTGGGGGAG